AATGAAATCACAGAATCCAAGGGAGAGGTGTCTCAGAAAGGGAGGGGTCATCAGCTTGAGAAGGAGAGGTGTCTGAGGACAGAGGATGAAGTGTGAATCAGAATACCCATGCCTACATCTTCGTTATTCATGTCATACTCCAAACTGGAGGGTAAGCCAGGACCCTGCGAAGACCTCAACCAGGGAAGAGCCTTTCCGGCCTCACTTGTTGGTTACACTATGTTTGGGTTCTGTCTACCCCATGGTCTGTGAGCTCCTCACAACAAGACACAGGGATGCCCTTTTCTTCCCCACCTTGTCCTTCTCTTCATTTGCAGCAATCCCACCCCCTCCCTCAACCCCACTTCAAAGGCTGCCCCTCCAACAGCTGAACTGGTATTCTGTAGTCCCAATCAATGCATTCCTTCCCGAGGGATGCTCTCCAGCACTCTGCCACCTGCCCTATTAGTGCTCTCAGTAATAAGAAGCTCCCTGAAGGCAGAACTCTGTCCTCTTAGTCACCTCTGAAGCTCCCTATATTACCAGCACCCCCAAAGCCCAATCTGGGGCTAACCCCAGTCCTTAACTCATGAGAGGGACTCAGTAAATGAATGCAAGATGAACTCAAACACATTGCAAACCAAGCTCAAAAAAGTTCATAAAATGGGAGCTCCAAGACAATTCCAGAGTCTATCATTATCTTAAACATGCAAAAAAAATGAAAATCTTTTCTGATGCCTGCTAGCAAAATTAGAGCACTAAAGGGACTTTTGATCTTTATTTCTCCACCTTTTACATAAAGTCTGGTTTAAAAGCCTGAAAAATGCCTGTTCAGCATCTAGCAGACTGGTCAAAGAGGCTTCCGAGACTATTTTACATGCCTCTCAAGCCCTGTTTCTAACCTGAAAACACAATTTTCCCTGCCTCAATATGAAAATTTGTCATCATTAGCATAAATGAGGATCCTGATAAAATTCTATGTTTTGGGCTTTTAAATCTTATCTGATGTATAAGAAACTTATATAGGAGACTATTGATGGGGTTATATTTTTAGTTCATGATCAAGATGGCAGGCATGTGATTTTAGAAAGGCAACGATTGTTAAACCTTGCCCTCACATGGGTGTATCTTCTACTGCATTCATTCATTCATTCAACAAATATTAATGATGTCACCTATGATGTGTTGGTCTTTGTTAAAGAAGGAAAGGAGTAAAGCTTTGTTCAAGTGTTCAGCCTTGATTCTGAAGCCAATGAGGAGGCATGAAGGGATCTGAAACAGAGTAGAGTTCTGGTTAGCATTGTATCACAGATGGAAGAGTGCTATGGAATTAGGCTCTGGTCCCTGGGTTACTCCTTCAGCTTCAGTTTTTGGCTAGTTGCAGAGATTAACTAGGTACCTGAAGAAAGACCTCCATTCCTAAAAACACAACTCACTGGATATCAGCAAACTTTGAAATTGGACTCTGAAACAAGCTGTCTGGGCTTAAATCCTAACACTTTCATTTCTTAGCTTTTTGACCTTGGGCAAGTTTCCCCATCTATATAAGGGGCATGATACCACAGCTCATCTCATATAGTTCTGAAGAACAAAGGATTCATACAAGTTAAAGCTCTTGCAATGATGCCTGGCACACAGTAATAACTCATATTAGCTATTGGGGCTACTTAATGATTGGTCCTGTGGATACAAATGAGAATAACCACGAGTCCTTCTTCTCAGGGAGAAAACAGTAAAGATCCCAGAGGATTTCAGCAGTGTTGAGGGCAATAATACAATAGCAGCAACATGACTCTAGCGAGGAGAAAGAGGGCACCAGGGTAGGGGAGGAGAAGTGTTTGGGGAGGCTGTTGAGATCTGAAGAGGTAGGTATTAAGGATGGATAGAAAGAATCCAGCTCATTCGGAGGCTGTGGAGAGTGTCAACTCAGAAGCAGCCAGATTTTCCCAATTTATAGATTAATTCATTAGTGTCCAAGCCTGGTTCACAGTTGTTTTTATACAAATCCCTTGGAAGTGTTAATGGGACCTTCCACAGCATCAATGCTGGCATTTTAAACAATAATTAATATCAGTGGTATTGGTGGAAAGAAGGAGATGGTAACTGGAACTTGGTGAGAAGAAGGAAAATCAAAACAATCGATCATCCCAAATCCAATATACAAACCTCAGAAATTCTGTCCTACACTTGGGAGGCTGAATTCCACCAAAAAGTTTAGGGAATCAAAGTATCCCAATTCACTGTGATGATTTTTCAGCTAGCACTGAGGAATGTCTCCAACAATTCCAGGAAATGGTGTTCAGTGATTGCAAGAGAATCTTTCTCAAAAGAGTAAGGTATCTAGGAGGGTCCCAGGGGATTGGTGAGATCCTCACTCTTACTGCTAAGGATCTTAGCTGGAGAGGGCAGGGGCCAGGAAAATGACTTGGTTATGCACTTGGCATATGCCCCAAAGCAGAGATCTTTTTCCCTTCATCTCTTCCTTCCTTTCTCTTCTCCCTCCTTCCAAGTTCCTTCTTTCATTTTTCTTCCCATCCTCTTTTCTTACTTTCCTCAAACTTATACTTCTATTTTTGTTTATCTAATGTTAATGATTAAATATTCAAACATTATGACAGGTATATAGCTGATGAGATACATATTGAGTTGTCCACATCCATCTCTGACCCTCTTATTTCCTATGCTGCTGATGGCTTTTTGTTTGTTTTATTTGAAAGCATTTAAACTTTTATTTTTTTTTGTTTTTTAAGTCCCTAATATTTTATTGCATTTTTTATACTTTTTATTATTATGTTATGTTAGTCACCAAACAGTATATCATTACTTTTTGATGTAGCGTTCCATGATGCATTGTTTGTGTATAACACCCAGTGCTCCATGCAATATGTGCCCTCCTTAATACTCATCACCGGGCTCACCCACCCCCCCAGCCCCCGCCAAAACCCTCAATTTGTTTCCCAGAGTCCATAGTCTCTCATGGTTCATTTCCCCCTCTGACTTCCCCCACCCGCTTCATTTTTTCCCTTCCTTCTCCTAATGTCCTCCATGCTATTCCTTATGTTCCACAAATAAGCGCCAATTGCTTTCCAAATTAAGGTTATGCTTTGTCTATTGAGAAGAGGACATGATTAAAGATCACTTGGGTGGGTTACAAATCTGAGCCAGAATCACCCTGATAATCATAAGGTAGAACTCTCTTCTGATTTAAACCCCTTTGGGAAGATGAGAGGAAATCCTCTGAGGTTTTGAAAGTGCTATGTGGCTCATCAGTTCATCCATCTCTCCTCCAGATCACTGGGGCATACTCTCAGAAGGAGATTCAAGTTTGAGAGGCACTGATACAGTAAAGGACACACTGATTTGGAGACTGGACAGACCTGTGTTTGACTTCTGGCTCCACCCATCACTCCCAAACTGTGTGACCCTGGGTAAGTCACTGGACATCTCTGAGCTTCAGTTACGAGTTTGTAAAATGGGAATTTAATATTTACATTCTTGGCTGCTTGAGAGAATTACATGAACTGATATATAAAATTCTGCCTTTTTCTTAAGAACGTAAATTTTGGGGCATCTGGGTCGCTCAGTTGGTTAAATATCCACTTGAAGCTCAGGTCATGATCTCCGGGTCCTGGGATCAAGCCCTGCGTCGGGCTCCCTGCTCAGTCGGGAGTCTGCTTCTCCCTCTCCCTCTGCTGCTCCCCTGCTTGTGTGCTCTTACACTGTCAAATAAATAAATAAAATCTTAAAGAAAAAAAAAAAGTAAACTGTTTTTCAACTTCCACTAATGTTATGGTTTCTCTTTACAAGAAACTGCACACATTGAAGTGTTCGTGTTGACCAGTGTGGACAGATGTATATACCATGAAACCATTACTATAGTAGTTGAAACCACAAGCATTTTTATCACCCCCAAATATTTCTGCAAAGTCCATTCACAATCCACTTCTCCCTCTGCTACCTTCTGCAGGCAACCACTGATCTGCATTCTGTCTTCAGAGATTAGTTTTCATTTTTTAGAACTGTATATAAATGGAATCACACAGGGTGTCCTTTAGTTTGTCTGTTTGGCCTAAATTCTTTCACATAGCAGAATGGTTTTGAGATTCATCCATGGTGTTTTTATATAATAATTCACTGATTTGGGTTGCTGAGTCGTATTTTACTAACTGTACTTTTTAAGCTGTTCAGACATCCCCTAACATATCATACAACATCCTGGAAGCCTGAAAGATCTTGTCCTCTCTCAACCTCAAAAACCTCTGCTTACTGTTGTGCTCTTCTCTGATGCATGATGCCTCGTCCTCAGCTGGGCTATGGAGGCCCCTCATTCATTCTGGTCCTCAGACTGAGCCAGTCTCTTTTCCTTCTACTGACCAGTCTGATTCCTCATTCCAGCCAGGCTGGGCTCCCTCTCACCAACACTTTCCGGGATCTCCTCAGCATCTGAGCCTTGGCTATTGCTGGTCCATGGCCAGGTACATGGTCTCTTACCTCTTTGCCTGTAAAAAGCCAGCCCATCCAGATAGCCCAGTACCTGCCTTAGCGTCTTCAGGCCCTGCTGCTTCTCCAGCTGCCCTTCAGCCCCGTCTCTGCATGTATGTCTCACAAGTCAGCATGCACAACCAAGCAGGCCCCTCTTCCCCTTCAGCAAACAATCCCCAGTTGGCAGCTCCACACCACGCTCGGAGCTAAGTGTGGGAATAGGAAGAGAGGCAAGACATGGTCCCTGCTCTCAGTGTGCTCACAGACTAAGGCTGGGCGGGCAGGCAGCCAGGCACACTCTCATGCCTATGGGTAGACAGAAAATAGAGAGAGAAGAAGAGGCCATGTATAGGTCTGCCTGACTGTAATTGGGAACTGGGGATGTGCCTTGTCAAACCGTTCTTTTCCTTTAATTCATCAGGGACATCACTGGAGCAAGGAACAAGATCTACATACCTCCTGTTTGCTCCTATGTATACAGGGCTGAACAGAGAAGATAATCAATAACAATTTTTTTTTTTTTTTTTTTTTTTTTTAACAGCTTGCACAGTGTTTATTTGACACTGAAACGAGGGGCTTCTGTACAATGGAAAGCAGTGTGCCTGGCCCTTAGGCTGGAGGCTAAAGGAACGAGCCAGGTCAGCTGGAGAAGAGACATACTGCAGAGCTCAGAGAGGTGGGACAGCCAGCTTGATGAAGGGGTCTCGGGAGAAGTGAAGCAAAGAAACTTATCTTCTAAGTCATCAATGCTTTTCTCCAATTTAGTTACTGACCTCTCTGCAAACTCAGCCCGAGTCTCGGCCTCCTTCAGCTTGTCAGAAAGGACCTTGATCTCTTCCTCATATTTGTCTTCCTTCTGCGAGTACTTATCCTCTGCAGCCATTAATGCTTTCAAGGTCTGATCCATTATTCTTAATTGTTCTTCCAGCTGTCGGACTTGGCTTTCCGAGAGTTCGGCCCGCTCCTCCGCGCGTTCCAGGTCACTCTCAATGATGACCAGCTTACGGGCCACCTCTTCATACTTGCGGTCGGCATCTTCAGCGATGTGCTTGGCCTCTTTCAGTTGGATCTCCTGAATTTCCATTTTCTCCTCGTCTTTTTGGGCTCGACTTTCAATGACTTTCATGCCTCTCTCGCTCTCGTCTGCGGCCTTCTCGGCCTCCTCCAGCTTCTGCAAAGCTGTTGCCAGTCGCTCTTGGGCACGATCCAACTCTTCCTCAACCAGCTGGATGCGTCTGTTCAGAGAAGCTACGTCGGCTTCAGCGGTCTCCCTCAGCTTCCTCTCGTAGTCCAGCTCGCGCTGCAGACTGCCCGCGTGCTCCTCCGCGGCGTCCGCCTGCTCCTGCAAGCTCCGGATTTTCCTCCGCACCGCCTCCAGCGAGCTGCTCCCGGCCATCGCTCCGGGCGGCGGCCGCGGGCTGGCGGGCAGGCTGCGGTGCGAGAGGCCGGCTGCTGCGCTCCAGCCGCCGCTGCCGCACTCCTGAGCACCCGGCCGCCCCGCCCAGAACAATTCATTTTTTTAATTTATTTTTAATCGTTTTCAAGTTTTATTTTTACCCTATTTATTTAAATTTTAGATAGCATATAGAGTAATATTAGTTTCTGGAGTAGAATTCAGTGATTCATCACTTACATACAATACTCAATGCTCATCATCACAAGTGCCCTCCTTAATCCCCATCCTCCACTTACCCCATGCCCCCACCCACATCCCTCCAACACCCTCAGTTTGTTCTCTGTTAAGAGTCTCTCATGCCTTGTTTACCTCTCTCCTTTTTTTTCGTTTCCCCCTTCCCATATGTTCATCTGTTTTCTTTCTTAAATTCCACATTTGAGTAAGATCATATGGTATTTGTCTTTCTCTAACTTATTTCAGTTAGCATAATACACTCTAGCTCCACTCATGCCATTGCAAATGGGAAGACTTCATTCTTTTTGATGTCTGAGTAATATTCCATCACACACACACACACACACACACACACACACACACACACACTACTTCTTCTCTATCCATTCATTAGCCAGTGGACATTTGGGCTTTCTCCAGTTTGGCTTTTGTTGATAATGCTGTAATAAACATAGGGGGCATGTATCCCTTTGAATCTATACTTTTGTATCCTTTGGGTAAATTCCTAGTAGTACAGTTGCTATATCATAGGGTAGTTCTATTTTTAACATTTTGATGAATCTCCATACTGTTCTCCAGAATGGCTGCATCAGTTTGCATTCCCACTAATAGTACAAGAGAATTCCCCTTTCTCCTCATCCTCACCAACATCTGTTGTTTCTTGTGTTGTTAGTGTTAGCCACGCTGGGACATATCAATGGAACACAATAGAGAGACCTACAAGTCTATGGTCAACTAATCTTCAAGAAAGCAGGAAAGAATACCCAATGGATAAAAGACAGTCTCTTTAACAAATGGTGTTGGGAAAATTGGACAGCCACATGCAGAAAAATGAAACTGGACCATTTCCTTACACCAACCACAAATACAGACTCAAAATGGATGAAAGACCTAAATGTGAGACAGGAAACCATCAAAATCCTAGAAGAGAACACAGGCAGAAACCTTTTTTTATTATTATGTTATGTTAATCACCATATAGTATATCATCAGTTTTTGATGTAGTGTTCCATGATTCATTGTTTGAGTATAACCACCCAGTGCTCCATGCAATCCCTGCCCTCCTTAATACCCATCACTGGGCTCACCAGAAACCTCTTTGGCCTTGGCCACAGTAACTTCTTGCTAGACCATCTCCAAAGGCAAGGGAAACAAAAGCACAAATGAACTATTGAGACTCAAGATAAAAATCTTTTGCACAACAAAGGAAACAATCAACCAAACTAAAAGGCAAGCTAGGGAATGGGAGAAGTTATTTGCAAGTGACCTAGCCGATAAAGGGCTAGTATCCAAAATCTATAAAGCAGTTATCAAACTCAACACCTAAAAACAAAAAATGGGCAGAAGACTTGAACATTTTTCCAAAAATATCAATAAATATTTAATTGATTTGTGAAGCAGAAATGGTCCAAAGAGTCTCCCCAGCTTTCCTTGAAAACGTCACAGTTAACAACAAAACCCACAGCCAGGTATGAATCCAAGGCCCTGTGGCACCTTGCCTTACTCTTCATTCTGCAGACTGCCAACATCGTCTCTGTTACAATCAGGACCTGAACAGAGAGGCTGGTGTCTTCACTGGGGCTGCAGGTCTGGATGCTCTTCAAAGGTTAGGGATCTCTAGCTCCAAGAGATCATTTAGACCCTCTGCTTTTGGAGAAGGAGCTCACTTTAAAGCCCGACACTAAAATTTCTCAGGCACTATCCCATCACCCTGATTCTCCACAAATACCCTGAGAGGCGAGAAGGACTGTGTCTAAACTTCCCATTTAGCAGGTGAAGTCTCTGAGGCACAGGTGGCGGTGTGCTAAGACACCTCCAGCAAGGGTGATCAGATTGACTTGTCCCCATTATTTCAGGACTGTGCTGGTTTTGACTCTTGAAAGTCTCATGTTTCAGGGCAACTCCTGCCCGTAGTCCTAGGCAAACCGGGATGGTTGGTCACCTGAGCTCTAACTCATGTCCTCTGCCCCACATTTTCCATTTGGCCAAGAACTCTAGAGTTGTGATTATGTGACCAGCATCAGGGGCATCCTGACCATCAGATGCATGGCATGCACAGGGCACATCATAAGCCCTAGAGCTGGCCATCAGCAATCTGACAGCAAGCTGTCCAGGAGCTCCTGGTGCCCACTCAGCTTGGAGAACCATGTCTGTTGCAAACAGCCTCACACACCAGTATCTCGCCAGCTCCTGCCTCTGTTACACCCCCAAGAGAACCTGTTTTGCCTCTATAGCTAATCTGATGTAGCAGTGGCCTAGGAAGTTGGGATGGTGCCTGTAGAAACTGCCTGCACCCACAAAGCCTAACGGGACTGTGGGGAGTAACGCCCCCTGGGGCGACAGGGGACAATGATAGTGAATAAATGAAAAGTTATCCACCTCTTCGACCTGCAACTTGAAAATGCAGTCTATGCATAATCCATAATAAAAATTACTTAAAAAGAAATAAAAAATTCAGTCCTCCATCTCACGAGTCACATTTCAGTCACCCACATGTGGCTAGTGAATGCAGTACTGGGAAACAGAGTTCTCCGCATCACAGAAAGCTCTCCGAGACAGCTCTTATTCTCCAGCGCCCCTCCAGTGGTGACCAACTGGGGCACACTGCTTTGCATGGGCTTTTCTTCCCTCCCTCCTTGTACCATGCCCAGTGCCCCAGTCTTGGCCCCTGGACTCATGCCAACCTTTGTCTCAGGTTCAACTTTCCCGGCGCAGGTGTGGGAGGTGGGAGTGGCAGGACAGAGCCCATCCTGACTCTAGCCCTGTCTCTGGCCCCAGCTCCTACCAGCCCCCTGTCCCGGTGTCAGGCTGGGTGGGCCACGAGGGCAGAGGTTCTGCTGCCAGCCCAGTAAACACAGGCTGTTGACAGAGGGAGTCATGACATCGAGCAATGTGACTCAAAAATGATGGGAGAGGGGGCACCTGGGTGGCTCAATGGGTTAAAGCCTCTGCCTTCCGCTCAAGTCATGATCCCAGGGTCTTGGGATTGAGCCCCGCATGGGGCTCTCTGCTCAGTGGGGAGCCTGCTTCCCTTCCTCTTTCTCTCTGCCTGCCTCTCTGCCTACTTTTTAATCTTTGTCTGTTAAATAAATAAATAAAATCTTAAAAAAAAAAATGATGGGAAAGGAAAGCCTTCAGAATGGGCAGTTTTGGACAGAGGTTTGCATCAACTGAGAGAAGATTTGTTCTGCTTGAGCTTTTCTTTCCCCAGGTAACAGGCCCCACGGAAGGGCACATCTAGACAGAGTGGCTCTTAAACTAGGAAATTCACAATGCAGCACACAGCCTTGATTTGAGAACTCAGATTTCCACAACCCCCTGTGGATTGTGAATAACGCTATTTTCTTTGAAAAAAAAATTACTTTTACATTTTCTTTAGGACTCCATCAATATTATATATGTGGAACAGCCCTATAATTGGCTATTTTACCTTAAAGACTGATTAAGGACAATGGTATCTTGACAACTTTTCAATTCAGCTCAATCTGACAGGCGTTTATTGAGTAACTATGGTGGGTCTAGTATGGTGCTTTTAAGCTCAGCAATAAATGGGAGATTCAATTTGTTCTTTCATTAAAAAAAGGTAATATCATTTATATATTTAAAAATATATATAATTCTTCATTTGGACAAAAACCTACCTGGTTTTCGATGTCATTACTGCCTCTTTGAAGTAAAGGCTTGATTTCAATAACAATATTTTGCTGCTTTCTCTTAAAAAAAAAAAGAAAAAGGAGATGTCCTTTTGGGTGACAATTTTATTTGATCAATAATTGCGGCAATTCCTGCCAAAAGCACATACTGGCTGCCCAAGGTGAAATTTACCAGCTCCCAGTTCTTAATTAGCCTGTATCTCCTTTACAGTTGGAGCTTCTAACAGAGAACTGGAGCAAAGTAACTCACTGAAGAAAGGCAAGTCATGCAGAAAATGCCAATATCAATTTTCTAAACAAGTCATAACTTAAATGCCACCCACCCACTCTCAGCCCAAAGCTTTAAAGGGAGAAACAATCAAAGACACTGATTGGGAGAGAACATTATCAATTAATGAGAGAAGTTAAAAGGGAAAAAGAATGCATAAATAAATTGGAAAAACAAATGTCAACTGAGCCTTATTATTTTCAGTGTGAGGAGGAACGACTTCTCTGGACTCATCTGTCTTTGCCTCTAACCCAATGGCCCAGTGCCAGGAGGAGATAGTGTGGTGCCTGGGAGGGGCGTGTGCCCCAGAGCCAGGCAGAGGAGGCCCAGGGTGCAAGTCTGGCTCTATCACCATCTGGGGGACTCGTGCCCATCTCCTAACCCCTTTTGAAGTCCTTATTCCTCCTCCAAAAAATAAGGGCAATGCAGTCAGCCCCATATACCTCAGGCTCACTGGAGATGGTGATGCTCTATTTTTTTAAGCTGGGGAGTGGGAAGACAATGCTTTGCTGTATTAGTCTTTAGGACCTTCTGTATTATGAAATCTACCTGTCCATCCATCTGTCTAGTTACCTATCTATTCATCCATCCATCCACGCAGCCGCCTAACTACTTACCTACCTGACTACCTAAAGAACAGAGGTAAACTTTTGGTTACAGTAGGAAAATATGAGATCTAAACACCGTGACAATCTCTATAAATTGTACCTCATTCCCAGCTTTGCTATATACCTCTGCATATCATTTTGGGGGTAGATGACAGTTCAATTTTAGGAGAGAAAGCCATTTTGAGAGGTAGTCATCAACTTCCCTCTGGAAACAAGTTCTGAGACTTGTTCAGCTTTGCCAGGATGGGTTGCAAATGGT